GGTCCATTTGGTAAAGTAAATCCATTGGGCTTCTTTCTTGGCTTTTTGACAATAATTCTGATGGCTAAAGAACCAAACGGGACAGTCAGAAAAAAAAATCCATCTGTTAGTTGAACCTCCGAGATAGGCATTCATTCCACCATGTCGCTCGGAGTGTCCTGTGGACAGTGCTCCGGGAGTATTGGGTGTCTGGCCCATTGCTAGGGGCAATTCGATCTTCATACAACTGTTGCAAGAGCTTGGCCTGCATAGCCCACAATAAGTCGGACTCATTCCCGGTGGGTGAGGGACTCCAGACAGAATTTCTAGGCATAGCCAAGTAGCAGAAGGCTTTCACAGTGGTCTCTGGTTTTTGCAGATGATGTGGTTTTGTTGGCTTCATCGGGTGATGGCATCCGGCTAACATGGAGTGGTTTGCAGCTGAGTGTGAAACTGTGGGAATGAGAATCAGCACCTCCACATCTGAGGCCATGTTCCTCAACTGGAAAAGGGTGGGGTGCTCATTTCGGGTCAAGGAAGAGTTACTGCTCCTAGTAGAGGAGATTACGTGGGGTCTAGGCTGCATGAGCAGAATAAGATGGGTGGGTGGATGGAAATGGAAACCAATGATGATTCAGTAGATTTAGTGGTATTACCTAATCACCTGCTGGCACAGGCATAAAGTACTTGGTCACTTTCCTTATTCCTAATTATTTATCACAATCAGGACCTTGATTCCAGTCCCTTTGTTTGGCCTCTATCTAAAGAAGCTCTTTTATTTTGATTGGCCAATGGAAGCGTGGTGCTCAATCTCTGTCTTCTGATATAGAAATTGTGAAAACAAGCTATAAATTTACTGTAAACATGATTTCTTCCTGATGATTTGAAACATAATCTCAACGGAGATGAAAACAGGACGTCCCTCTGTGGTAAATATTACATTAATAATCAGTGAAATAGTCTTTCAAAGAATGAAATAGCACAGACTCCTTATTAAAATGTGTTATTTATGGCAGATTCCCAGTAAAACAGGCTTCTTACACCTTTGCTGCAATTTCTGACAATTTTTAAACCACGTATGCAAAAGGAATAAAAAAAGGCAAACAAAAAACAAAAAAGAACACCTCAGAGTTTCCAGTGTACAATGTGGAATCTTCAGTTCTGCAGCTAGAAGCTTCACTCCTGGATCCTTCAGGTTATTGTTACTCAGGTCCAGCTCTCTCAGACTTGATGACTGGGAGCTGAGAACTGA